CAGTTATTATGCTCAAAATATCTGGAACAAACTCCCAGAACCCTGCCGGTCCGCTTTAACTCTGACTACTTTTAAATCCAGGCTGAAGACTTTTCTTTCTGCTTGAACTATTCACATCTTAAACTGCACTGTAACTTTTATCCATGTATTCTTTTGTAATGTTTATTTTATTGTCTTTGCTTTTTAATGACTGTTTTTAAATGCGATTTTCTGAATGTCTTTCATTGTAAAGCACTTTGAATTGCCTTGTGTTGAAAGGTGCTGTGTAAATGAACTTGCCTTGCCTATTTGAATAAGTATATGTTTTTGGCTAGATAACCATGGTTGGGGATCTGAAACACGGCCGCACGGTTCACTCCCTCGCCAAACTGCTGACTCAGTACCGCATCACGCTGCGCTACGTCGCTCCCAAGAACCTCCACATGCCGGCGGAGATCATCAGCTACGTGGCCTCAAAGGGCATCAGACAGGTGCGCACTAAAATCAAGATTCAAGGCTTCTATTGTCATGGCTACATAGCTACAGTGTAGATATATCAATGAAGGTCTGAGGTCACAGGCTCCTTCTACAGTGCAACACAATACAACAGATACAATTATGCAAGTAAATACAAATAAAATAGAAATAGTGCAAGGAGAGTCTATATACAAGTAATTGGGATATGATATATGTGTAAGTTGCAAACAGATGAATGTTATGAATGTTCTTTTCAAAAGTTCAGGTGTTTAACATTCTGATGGCCTTAAATATGTTTACACCGTATTACAAGTTGATATGTATAGTCAGATGTGTTTTCTAGTTCAAATCATTGTTCAAAATGGTGAAAGGATGCTGTGGTCTTCCCTGTGTGCAGGAGGAGTTTGAGAGCATCGAGGAAGCTCTGCCTGAGACCGACGTCCTCTACATGACGAGGATCCAGAGGGAGAGGTTCGCTTCTGAGGAAGACTACAAGGCTGTAAGTGAAGTTCATTTCATCAACTTTCTTTCTCTTGTAAGGTAGACACACATAGTCCTTATGCCTCTTTATGAAATATCTGGGTAATATAAGACTAAATCCACTTTTTGGAGTTGGTAAACGACATATACATTTTTACACTATTTGATCCCACTTTACAGGTTTTTTTTGCATAGAAGGTACTTTTTCCAGACAAACGGCCGTATTTCGATCTGACCACAAAAAAAAACATTTACGTAAGCTTGTAGTCTACAGCATTAATGAATATTGAATATATAGGATTTAGCAGTTTTGTGAAGGTTGTGGTTCAAGCTAATTGAATGACCCCCCACCTTGCAATTACATGTGAATTGTTATAATTAAATATAATATCTAAGACACTAGTTTTTCTAGGCTAGAAGGTTTTTTGCTGTTCCCCTGTCAACCAAGCCATGTGTTATTATTATAATTTATTCTGAATGTGTGTGTTTATTCTTCCTCAGTGTTTTGGCCAGTTCATCCTCACCCCTCACATCATGACTGTAGCCAAGAAGAAGATGGTGGTCATGCATCCGCTGCCCAGAGTCAATGAAATTAGGTGAGGCTCAATCAGCAGCATTATATCAATCTTATTTATTTTGTTCTAACTTCTTATGAGCAATTTAATGTTTGGAGATTTCTATTTAGTTCTTCTTATCGCCTCCACAAAAAGTCACTGGGATTTTTTTGTTTGTTGATAATCTCCACATATTAACACCACTTTGATTGTTAAAGCGTATATGCAATTGCCAGGAGTTAAAAGCTAATGTTGGGCTATAAAGGAACTACAGCACGGTCACATGACTTCACGTCACCACCGCTAAGCTAAAGGAGGCTAATGTTGGGCTATAAAGGAACTACAGCACGATCACATGACTTCACGTCACCACCGCTAAGCTAAAGGTGGCTAATGTTGGGCTATAAGGGAACTACAGCACGGTCACATGACTTTACGTCACCACCGCTAAGCTAAAGGAGGCTAATGTTGGGCTATAAAGGAACTACAGCACGGTCACATGACTTCACGTCACCACCGCTAAGCTAAAGGAGGCTAATGTTGGGCTATAAAGGAACTACAGCACGGTCACATGACTTCACGTCACCACCGCTAAGCTAAAGAAGGCTAATGTTGGGCTATAAAGGAACTACAGCACGGTCACATGACTTCACGTCACCACCGCTAAGCTAAAGGAGGCTAATGTTGGGCTATAAAGGAACTACAGCACGGTCACATGACTTCACGTCACCACCGCTAAGCTAAAGGAGGCTAATGTTGGGCTATAAAGGAACTACAGCACGGTCACATGACTTCACGTCACCACCGCTAAGCTAAAGGAGGCTAATGTTGGGCTATAAAGGAACTACAGCACGGTCACATGACTTCACGTCACCACCGCTAAGCTAAAGACAGCTAATGTTGGGCTATAAAGGAACTACAGCACGGTCACATGACTTCACGTCACCACCGCTAAGCTAAAGGTGGCTAATGTTGGGCTATAAAGGAACTACAGCACGGCCACATGACTTCACGTCACCAC